AACCGTGAAACCTGTATTAAATAAATTATAGGGTAATTTAATAAAGATATATAATTAAAGTGAATTAGTTTATTTTTCATGTTAATGTTTCATTTTTTGTACAATGTTTGCTTATGTTATGAATTAAGAGACAGGAAAGGAGAGATTTGCTACAGCTTTTGGGGCTATGGGCAGTGGCGTAACTATAGGGTGGCAGAGGTGGCCAAATGCCACGGGCCCCCGACCCAAGAGGGCCCCGGCTCCAGAGGCCGATAGCTCAGTTTTTTTTTTGTTCTATGTGTTATAAGAACCTGTGTATTTTATTTAAATTGATAATATATGTTAAATATACATATTTTAAGTTCTGGATCTATATAAATGTATACCTACAGTGTCGGACAACTAACTACTTAAGGGGGCTTCTCATGTAAAATGTAAAAAAAATCGATTTTTTTTTTCATAGATCGATAGAATAACGTCTTGAGAGTGTATTCCCGAAGTTATATGACTCAACTCTCAATATTATGGAAAATGTGAGTGATCGAACGAGCGCGCAAACAAGTTCAAGACCCACTAACTCAAAACTTTAAATCATCTTTTCTCAAAACTATGATTTTAAAAACGCGGTACACGATTACGAAAAAACTACTGAACCGATTTTTGATTTCTAAAAAAGTGTTTTGCAGATTATACATTGAACGAGTGTATGAATATCTGAAATTGTGGAAAAAAAGTTATTTTATACACTTTTCAGCCCAATTCAGCAACAAAAAAATTCGAAAAAATTGCAATTTTTTTTCAAAACGTGATTTCAAATTTTTAAAATCGAATTGTTTGAAGTTGCAGACATTCATGCACTCGGGGGAACCCTGCTGAATAATAAAAAATGTTTTTTGTATGTTTCCGATGAAAACTTTGGGCTCCACACTGTACCGCAATAAATCCGTCAGCCGCGTCGCGCCACACGCGACCTTGAATAAGTCCGCCATTTTGTTTTTTAGAATTTTCAAAAAATGTTTTTCTCATACTTTAAACATGTCTTCAAATATATGCAAAAAATTATTCGTGTAAGTTTTCATTTTCCAAGTGAAAAAATTCCCAAAAAACAACAACTTTTTGACATATTACTTGAGAAGCCCCCCTTAAGCGGTTTATTAAAATGACAGGGCCCCATCAAAAAAATTTGCCACGGGCCCCAGATGGTATAGTTAGTAACTGTTTTTTATATTAAGAAACAGTTACTAAAAGTTATTTAAAGTCGTGTAATTGTTACGTACTTCTTCATCAGTGCAGTTTTCGGAAATTTCAAAGGCAATGTCCTTAGCCGCTTGATGAGCTGTGAGAGGTGAAAGGTATAGTTTTTTGAACCTTGGATCTAGCAAAGAAGCCTTGACTAGGATTTTTTGTTTTGCAACGATTCAAACCGCTTTTCTGATTCTTTCACAAGAGCTGCTCTTGTTAATATTCCTTCTGCCGATTCTACTCTTAAGTAGCGAATTTTATCAAGCAAGAGTGATATAAGGGGAGTTACCATGCTTACGGTAACGTAATTTTCCCCGCTTATTTTTTCTGTTGCATCCTTAAACGGCGTTAGAAGATCACAAAAATCTTGGTAAATGTAATTTCCATCAGATGTAAGCATCTCCGGCAATCCCTTCACAGAAGTTGAACGGTTTATAAGGACTACTGACACTTTCTTTGAAAGGTTTAAAAAAGAAATAAGCAAATCAAGACAGGAATTCCATCTCGTGTCAACACTTTGTACGAGTGTCCGAATTCGACCTTCTGCTATGCCTTCATCTGCCTGTAACTTGCGCAACATGTCCATCGCTGCTGGGCTGTGCTTAAAATGAGTTACGCTTTTTTTTCCTTTGTCCAGCACGTTGCAAAAAGAAACAATGTCATTGACCACATCATCGACTATCAAATGTATAGTATGAGCAAAAAAACCCACGTGTTTGCCTTTTCCTAAGAACAAATTGGAAGCTGCCCTCATATTATTGGCGTTATCGGTTGTTAATGTGCGCCACTTCGACTGATCAATTCCAAATGCATCACATACACCTTTCAGTTAGCCACATATATATTCGCTAGTATGTGACTGCATTAAATGAAAGATAATATTTGAATTTGACATTTTTTAAAGAAATAGTTAACAAAAAGACAATCAACGCATATACAATATTGTAAAACAGAGCACAAGAAATGTCCCTAACACACAAACGCATTTCTGCGATTGCAGTATTTCCATGCAAATGAAAAAAAAAATTGTATGGACATACGATAGTTTCGCGCGAGTTACCGCCTCAGCACATTCCATCGGCGGTCCCCCACCTAAACCCCTTCGGTCGCCAAGCAACTAAAGACCGTACACTTGAATTGGCAACTAAGTTGCCAAACAAACAAACATAGCGGCTACTGCTGAGCAGTGCCGGATTAAGCTAGCGCGGGGCCTGTAGCAAATTCTGTCAAGGGGCCCTTGCTTTGCTTTAGGTTCTCAAGTTTAGGGTATTAAATAAAACAAAATTGTTACAAATAAACTTTTCTGGATTTAATATGGGCAAATTTAGAGATAACACTTTCAATAACGACTTCTTTAAGCAAATCATGCTCTATATTCAACAAAGTGAGATTATTAAGACGTTCTTGGCCCGTTACTAGCTTTCAATACTCTCGAAACATGATCGATATGATAATCGATTCAAATAAAGGTCAGCTATGTTCACTCATAAAATGAATCTATATTTTATAATAAATCAACAAACCACAGTAGATTGGATTGTGACTGACCACGTGACTGGGTCAATAAAATTTAAATAGTTTGCCTACTTTTTCTCGAAATACTGATAATCTATATAATATTAAAATCGATAAAAAAAAAGTACAATCTCGGCTACGTAAACTCGCAAAATAAATGTATACCTATATAAAAAATGAAAATCTGGCCGCTTGAAGGGTAGAAATGTGGTTTAATTTCAGATAAAATATAACGTGACGAAATCGAGTTTTATATTTTCAGATGGGAGTAAAGCATAGCCTAATCGCTTCACGCTTAAGTCATGCAAATTATATTTAGGTTCCTATCAAAATTTTTTTTTTTTTTACGATCAGATAGGTAGGAGTTGGAGAGCGGCCGCGCTGCCCTTCAGGCCTCGCTCCCATATTGTTCACATTTCAAAATATTTATTACATGTTACGCCTTGTATGTGCTTGCTGCAATAATTGCAACAAGTATTTTTCACAAGCACACAAGGGATAACGTTTTGAGAAAAAATCGTTCGCGGACAACCTCTCACTTCGAAATCCCGAGCGATTTTGCAGCCGACGAGACTACCTTGTATAATTGTACCATGACCATGACTCAGGCACGGTAGAAAGAGTGGGAGATACTAGTTCCTCTCCCTTCCCCTCGATCTTACGCTTTTTCGATCAGCATAACGGGACCCTGACGCGAGTTTGAATGTTTTTACCCTGCTCAGCGCCGCTAAAGAAGTTTTCACTTCAAAATACTTTTTGCAATAATTGCAGCAAGCAGATACGAGGCGTAACATAGATTATTGTACAAAAATGTATAAAAGGGCGGACAATATGGGAGCGAGTCCTAAAGGGCAGCTTTGATTGAAAACCAAAAATTACGAAACAATTAATTCTTATTGTCATATAAAAGTCCTCCTTAAACTCACGCAGTATATAAGTCGGAACGAGCCGGATCGGCCGACTATATCGGATAGCTCCCATACGAGGGAATGAAATGAAAAATTCTCACGCAGTTGTTTTTGATCAGATCGACTTGATTTCTTCAAGATGGCGTTTCCTAACCACTATTGAATTTCGGATAAAATTTGATCAAAATCGGATAACTCTATCATATAGCTGCCATACAAAAGATCGAAAAAAAATATATAAATAATGAAAAAAAAATTATAGCGTTGTTGTTTTTTATCCCACGAGCATGACTTTCAAAACATGGAGTTTTTTAATAATTCTTGAATCGAGAAAAAAATTTCATTAAAATCCGACAACGTTATCAACAGGAAAGATCGAAAAATCTATATCGAAATACGGGAAATAAAATTATAACATCGTTGTTTTTTATCAGAAAAGCATAATTTTTTGGAATATAGAGTTTTCTAACTACTCTTGAATTACGTATTAAATTTCATCAAAATCGGACAACTATATCATATAGCTGCCATATGAACAATAGTCGAAAATATGGAAAATGAATAGAAAAATTGTCATAGTTTCGATGTTGTTTAGCCCTTATGCATTTGATGAGCATTCATCAAATATGACTGCAAGGGTATATAAGCTTCGGCTTGCCGAAGCTAGCTTCCTTTCTTGTTCTGTTTCTTACTTACAGAAAAACACTCTTTCACTCGCACTCATTGTAGTGCGCAATAGGGGACTGACGCCGGCGTCGGGACTACCTTGTAGTTATTATACCATGACTCAGGCACGGTCATGGTACAACTATACAAGATAGCAGGGGCGCACGGAGGGGGGAACGGGGGCAATTTGCCCCGGGCCCAGGCTTATGGGGGCCCCGCGCGATATGATATATGATATATATGATGATATGTAAGGGTTGACAATCTCCCAAAATTTAATTTTTAGCCCGGGCCCCAGACTACCTCTGAGCGCCCCTGCAAGGTGGTCTCGACGGTTACAGAATTGTTCGGGTTTACTCCCCTATCGACCCGAACGCTCGGGTTTTCGTAGGAAAACACTCTTTCTCTCGCTCTAATTGTAGTGTCGATAAAGGACTGACGAGCCGACGAGCCTTGTATAATTGTACCATGACTCAGGCGCGGTAGAAAGAGTGGGAGATACTAGTTCCTCTCCCTTTCCCACGATCTTACGCTTTTTCGATCAGCATAACGGGACTCTGACGCGAGTTTGAAAGTTTTTACCCATACAAAAAGTGCTCAGCGCCGCTAAAGAAGTTTTCACTTCAAAAATGTAAAAAACTGTATGGACTTTCGCGCAGCACTCAAACCCAAACCTTTTTGTTTTTCCAGAGAAGAAAAATGAATTGGTCATGGAATCCAGAGAACACGCGGCGCCTTATACGGATGGTCGCCGCCTACCCAGAGATATGGGACCCCGAGACTCCCGATCGGCATTATCTGCGCAAACTGGCATGGTCCGAAATAGTCACATCGATGCAACTCCCGATGACAAAGTGCAAGCATAAGTGGAAGGACCTTCGCCGTGAACTTATGAAAAGTTTCACCCACTGGCCGTACTTGGAGGATATGGCCTTCATGAGGCCTGTTTTACAGGATCCGGAACCTGCACTGGTACGTGGTCGAACATAACGGTTGTCAGGACTATGCTTATCCTCATAATCTCCCTTTGCCTCCCTTTCAGTTGAGCGACGTTTCCGATGATGAAGATGAAGAGACTATTGTGAGCGAAACTATTGTGCAACGCAATGACCAAGGAAATTGCAACTATTGGGAAAAGGCAGGTAATTACAAAACCCCCTTCCTCTGTACAATATATCGTACACAAAATTGAATTTTATAAAATGATATTTAACTAACTTAAAACCTTTTTAGGAAATGTCATCGCAAAATTTGTGTATATTCTCGAAAACGTATTAAAGCTGCAAGCTTTCTTCAGAAATGTAGAATTATTCTTTAGCTGGGTAGCCTTTTTTTTTGAATTAATCAAAAACGGTGTAGGACATTTAAACATGACTAACACAAGATGATGGGATGGGATGACTTTCAGTCGTACAGAGTAATGTTTTCTGATCGCGGTCAACTTGGTGGCCGCCAGTGCGATCTCTGTTTTCGAATGATTGCAAGTTGACACACAGCCTCCTCGTGGAAACCTCCTGGGTAGCTATCTTAGCATCCGCTAGATAGTGAGCTAATGTGTGCAGCGATGTCACCCGGACGTTAAACGGTTGAGCGCAGGGTTTGGAACCCGCCTCGCAAAAAAAAGAAGCCCAGTGAAGACCAAAGCGAAAGCCTCGGATAGGATACCCCCTTATGTTGACGACCACCGCAAAACGAAAATGGACTATGATTTAAGGATATGCACCTGGAATGTCCGAACCCTTAATTGGGAAGGTGCCTCTATCTAACTGGCGGATGCCCTCGAAAAAAAAAAAAAATAATAAATGTATACCTATATAAAAAAATGAAAATCTGGCCGCTTGAAGGGTAGAAATGTGGTTTAATTTCAGATAAAATATAACGTGACGAAATCGAGTTTTATATTTTCAGATGGGAGTAAAGCATAGCCTAAGCGCTTCACGCTTAAGTCATGCAAATTATTTTTAGGTTCCTATCTAAATTTTTGTTTTTTTTACGATCAGATAGGTAGGAGTTGGAGCGCGGCCGCGCGGGGCCCCCCAATGCGCGGGGCCCGTAGCATTTGCTACTCCTGCTACATGGCTAATCCGGCACTGCTGCTGAGTCCAAGCCCCAGATATGCATCCGGTCTAATTACAGTCCCACTCCGCTTGATCAGCAGTTTGTACTTAGGCAAGAAGGTTCGAGCCAAGAGATATAAAATAAAGATATTCATTCTGGATTTGACTTTTAATCAAGAAACACAGCTCTTTTATTTGGCTCGGAGATTGGTCTACGATCAATATCAAGGAACCTACTAATTAATATTGATAACTGGCGCAGTCGGCAGCTTTCGTCAACGGACGGATTCGACCAAGGACAGGAAGGATCTGAGACGGCGAAAGGAAGCAGAAAAGAAGGACAGATGTTCTGGATTACGTTTAGCATTATTATGTAAGAGAGTGAGTAGAGTGAAGTGGGTGCAATGGAGTGTAAAGAAAATAAAGTGGAAATTAATAAAATAAATCTAAATACAACGACCAGACAAATAGAAAGGAATTAATTAATAAACATGCAAGCAACAAGTTATAAACGGTGATAATGAAAGCAGTAATTCGAACCGCAGACAAACGTAAAAAGAGCGTAGGCCAAGGCAAGGACAGCAGGAAAATGAATAAATAATGAACAAATATAGTAGAAGAATTTAATAACAAGAACTAGACAAATTTTTATTAAATTAAATAGTGTTCATATTCGCGAATTAAATGAAAAGTTCGATTGTAACAATGACTCGTGGTCAAACGTCGGCGAACGGTCGAGAGCACCGACGGTTCGAGGTTGCGTCGAACGGTTCGATCGAACGGGCGGCCGTCGACAAGCGTCGGCAGGTGGTCGTGGTTGTCGATGGTTCGATGCGAACCGAACAACTCGGGCAAACGTTCGATCGTCGACGAATGACGGATGGAGCAGGTTGCAGATAGTTAGTGTTGCGGTATGAGGGTATTCGTGTTAAAACGACGGCAGCCGGGAGGTTGCAGACAGCTCGGGTCGAGTTGGCAACGGTTGTCGGCAAGTTCAAGACAATACAGATGACGATCGAACGGTTCGATCGGTGCAGGCACAGTGGTATGTAGAGTGGCAGACTAGGAATTGAGGGCAAGAGTAGATTAAACAAGTAATAAATAAATTTAAATAAAGAAATAATAAAAAAATAATGGAATAAAATTATTTAAATAAAATAAATAAAATAAAATAATTAAATAAAGTTGAAGAAAGAAAGAAATAAACCAAAGTTAAAGAAATAATCAAAGAAACTAATTGTCCCCTTTAACATGTATTAGGCGGCGCACTGTGTTACACAGGGCGGCCGTTTAGCATGAGAAAAGGGTAAAGGAATGCGAAGAAATGACGATTTCAGTGAAAATAAGTGATATCGGATGATGTTTTTCATTTGTATTAGGCGACGAACTGTGGAAACAGAGTGGCCGCCTAGCAAATGGAAGGTATTGATTCGATAGACAGTAAGAATAATTTTGTGTACACCCATTAACATGTATTGGGCGGCGCATTGTAATGCACAAGGCGGCCGCTTAGCATGTGGATGAGGAGGTACATTGGTAGACAAGCAACATAAGAGGCTATCCACATGTATTAAGCGATACACTGTAGAAAACAGGGTAGTCGTTTAGCATGGGGGCGGCCAAAACAACAAATACCCTGATGGCAATGTCTGTCCGCATTTGGTCGTGATGCTGTATCGCACAGCCGATCGGCTAGCTTCAGCATGCCGGGTAACAAAACAGAATACGCGAAATAAATAAAGAATAATGAATAAAGAAACATATAAAGAAATAACTAAATAAACGAAATTAAATACAGCAAGTTGCAATGAGTTTGGATGGTAGAAGACAGGGAACGATAACAAGAACAAAATAAATAATAAAATTTTGACCCATTGTTGATATTTTAAGAAATCAATTTAGCAAAAGTACTCATTTTAAATTAATTCCAGAACTCCATTACACCACACGGAAACTCCCTGAACCACAACACAATACCAAGAGAAGATAAAGAATACAATTAAAACAATAACTTAAGTACACAAGCACACATACATACATTTAAACACTATTAATATAGTTAACATTTAAACACTATTAATTAAGAAATACACACATAAGCGTAAATACACACAGAAACAAGCTAAAAATAGAGATAAAACCCAAGAAACCGAACCCACAAGTAATGACAGAAGAAAGAAGGCCTGCAGCGATGGCAACAACAAGCGTGTTAGAAGCTAGCAAGGTAATAGACCTGGTAGGAATTATTCCCAAATATGAGGGAGAGCCAGGGAAGTTAGATGGTTTTATAGCAGCAGTAGAACAGGTACTGGGCCTCATAAAAGGAGAAGAAAGGTCGAATATAGGAATAATCGCTCTTAGAGCGATAAGGAGTAAGATTTTGGGACCAGCAGATAAAGTTCTTGACTTGGACGAGTCCGAATTAAATTGGGATCAAATTAAGAAAATATTGATTACCCATTTCAAAGATAAGAGATCAGAGCAGGAGTTGATTATGGAGTTAACGCATATTAAAGAAAAGAAATTGGATTTAGAAGCCCTTTACACGAAGGTGATGACCCTCAGGAAAGCCCTAGTGAGTTTAACTAAATCCAACGAGCAAGGTATTTTGTTGAGGAGCGAGAAGATCAAGTGGTACGAGGAAATGGCCTTAAACGCCTTCGTTTCAGTATTGAAAGGGCCAATAGGGGTTACTATCAGGAACATGGAGGTGCCCAATATAGCTAAGGCATATGAGATTGCTTGTAGAGAAAAGAACTTGGGCACCCTACAGGAGACTCAGGAAGAGACGAAGGATCAGGCATTGAATGAAACCCAGACCAAAGAGGGTAAAGAAGCCCCGAAACAGGATCTTGACAAACAGGACAATCCGGTGCCGGAGTCCCAGACTGGCATGTGGTCTCAATACCGATGGGCAGCGAATGCCCAACCGCAGTTCCCAATGCCATTTCCGGTACCGAATATGAATGGTTGGCCAGGATTTGGATTTCCGTATCCAATGATGGGTAACCCATTCAGGACAGACAATGACAATCAAGGAGAAAACTCCAACTATCAGAGACCATACCGAAGTTATCAGAACAGGAATAATAAGTGGAATTATGGTCAGAATAACCGGGGCAGACAGTGGTATGGGAACAACAACTATAACAACAGCAAGCCTAGAGAGGGCCAGCTAGCCATCCAAGCGGCTGGAGACGTAGAGGGTAGTGGCCAGACCAGAATGTCTAGGAATTCTAACTTCTCTGGACAGTCATATAATTCCAACAATTCGAGGCAGTCAAATAACTCGACCAATTCAAAACGGTCATATCATTTGACTAACAACTCGGAGAGGGGCGGAAATCGACCGTCGACAAGTGGTCAGTTACATAATATTCAAGAGGACTAGGCAAATTTTTCGCAATCAGCCTCGAACAGCCAACAGGATATTTAGGAACTAGGAGGGGCCACTCCACCCTACCATTTGTAATGATAAAAAACACTCCACAAAAAAACAATAAAAGTACTAATTGATACAGGATCCACTTTCTCTTTTATTCGTCCCGAATTAGCCACAGTATGTAAAGGAGTTGAAAGACCCCATAGCCATTAAAACAATTACACAATCCCACAAGATTTCGAAAGAAGCATATATACCAATGTTCGAAGAATTCGGAGGAATAGGAGAAATGAGATTATTACTCTTCAAATTCCACCAATTTTTTGAAGGGTTAATTGGTATAGATTTACTACAACAAGTGAAAGCCGTGATCGATATTGAGAAAGGTCGGTTCCGAACGGTGGACACAGAATTGCATATACATTTCGCTAACTATAGGCCCAGCGAGGTCCACTCAATAGAAGCAGGAACAAGAACAATTATTCCTTTACCGGTACGAGTACCCGATGGGGATTTTCTATTAAACAAAACGATAGTCAAGGAGGATTTAATTATATCAGAAGGAATCTATAGGGCAGTGGCTGGAAAGAGCCTGGTCGAGGTAACGAATTACGCGGAAAAGGATCAGGAACTATTTTTGGAGGAGCCGTTAGAAAGTTGTGAATTCGAAATAGACAAGCATTTCGAACTCAACAATATAGAAGAAATGTATAATGGGAACACGAAGATACCATTTGATAAGATCAGAACAGAACACTTAAATAGCGAAGAGCTTAAAGAACTTCAACGCATTTGTAAAAAATATCCGAAGGTATTCCATAAAGAAGGGGATCATTTGTCGTTCACGAATGCGGTCAAGCACCAAATCAGAACGAATGATGACATACCAGTGTACGCCAGGCCGTATAGGTATGCATTCAAGGAAAGACAGGAGGTGAGAAGACAACTAGGAAAGCTACTGGATCAAAAGATTATTAGGCATAGCCATTCTCCTTGGAGTGCGCCTGTTTGGCTAGTGCCCAAGAAGAAGGATGCCTCTGGGGAGAGGAAATGGCGAATGGTAGTAGATTACAGGAAGCTTAAC